CCCCCCCCCGTGCCCCCCGCCCCTAGCGCCTGGCCCCGCCCCTTCCAACCCTGGCGCTTAGCGTTCGCAGTCTGCGACCCCGGCCAATCCCCACCCTCCTCCCGCGGTCCCGCCCCTCGGGAACGTCCGGGATCTCGGCCCCGCCCCCCCACTGGCGCTGGGGCGGAGCCGCGGCCGGGGCGGAGCCGGGAGCAGCTGTTCAGACAAGGAGGGGGAGGGGGGCAGTTGCCTGCCGAGGTTGCGGAGCGCTGGCCAGCGACGTTGAAAAGTGGTGGTGACCTGGGCCGGTCCCGGATGACTGGATCAGGGCAAACAGTGCCTATCAGTAAGGAAGGGAAGAAGGAATATCCAGGGAACTACCGACCGGTCATCTTCACCCCAGTCCCCAGAAAAATCATGGAGCAGGTCCTCAAGGAATCCATTTCTAAGCACTTGGAGAAGACGACAGTGATCAGGAACAGTCAGCATGCGTTCACCAATGGCCAGTCATGCCTGAACAACCTAATTGCCTTCTATCATGAGATAACGGGCACTGGGTGTGAAGAAATCCCCCTCTGTCCACCCCTTCTTGGGTCAGTCCAGCTACACCTCTGTCTCTTTCACCTGTTTGCTATCTAGTACAACGTGGTCACCCAGGTGACCAGGTTAGATAAATTCCTGAGGGGAGGGGAAGCTTGCTCTCTTCCTCCGACAGCATTTTGGAAATGATCAAGCAAAGACTCCAGGCTACTGCCTGAAGATGCTCTATAAGTAAAGACTAGAAAACTAGCCAGTAGATTAGAACTAAGTAATTCAGATGCATATTAAAAGGGTCCCCAACCCAAGATCTGTAGGGCGCAACTTATTCTGGTTTGCTTGAGGGTATTTCTGACTCCTGTGTTCTGCCCCCCACTCTTGTCCCCCGATCAATAACGGTATCGGGTTACAGCGTGACTGGCTGTGAATTCCTGAGAGGGGAGAGAGGCCTTTATTGCTCCCTTGGCTGGGCCAGCTACATTGGGCTTGGCTTTCTATTTTCTTCCAGTGCTGGAGGCTATCTTTGGGTGCTTCAGGTGGGAAGAAGCACCCTGAAATACCACCATTGGGCAAAAGCAGCCCCAAGGCTTGCAGGGTCTGTGTAGCCTGGACTGCACAGAGCCCTAACTGAGACCAGTGCCCAGGTGGTGGCAGCATTACCCCAGGCTTGCTGGTCTTCTCTAGGAAGGGGTATGGTCGGCCATAGGCTCCCCCGGGGAGACTCCTGAAGCATGGTTTCGGGCCTGGCACAGTGATGTGGGTGGCTCTGCATAGTAGTGCCCCCTACTGCGATGCCACACTGTGGACATGCGAAAAGCGGTGGATGTGATATACCTTGACTTTAGCAAGGCTTTTGATACCATCTCCCACAGCATTCTTGCAAGCAAGCCAAGGAAGTACGGGTTAGATAAATGGACTGTAAAGTGGATAGAAAGCTGGCTGGATCACTGGGCTCAATGGGTAGCGATCAATGACTCAATGCCTAGTTGGCAGCTGGTATCAAGTGGAGTGCCCCAGGGGTCAGTCCTGGGGCTGGTTTTGTTCAATATCATTATTAACGATCTGGAAGATGGGATGGAGTTCACCTTCAGCAAGTTTGCAGATGACACCAAGCTGGGGGGAGTAGTAGATGTGCTGGAGGGTAGGGCTAGGATTCAGAGTGACCTAAACAAATTGAAGGACTGGGCTAAAAGACATCTTATGAAGTTCAACAAGGACAAGTGCAAAGTCCTGCACTTAGGATGGAAGAATCCCATGTACCAGTACAGGCCTGGGACCAACTGGCTAAGCAGCAGCTCTGCAGAAAAGGACCTTGGGATTACAGTGGACATTAAGCTGGATATGAGTCAGCAGTGTGTCCTTGTTGCCAAGAAGGCTAATAGCATACTGGGCTGCATTAGTAGGAGTGTTGCCAGTAGGTCAAGGGAAGTAATTATTCCCCTCTATTCAGCAGTGGTGAGGCCATATCTGGAGTACTGTGTCCAGTTTTGGGCCCCCCCATTATAGAAAAGGATGTGGACAAGTTGGAGAGAGTCCAGTGGAGGGCAACAAATGGTTAGGAGACTGGAGCAGATGACTACTGAGGGGAGGCTGAGGGAACTGGGTTTATTTAGTCTGCAGAAGAGAAGACCAAGAGGGGATTTAATAGCAGCCTTCCACTACCTGAAGTGGGGTTCAAAAGAAGATGGAGCTAGACTGTTCTCAGTGGTGGCAGATGACAGAACAAGGAGCAATGGTCTCAAGTTGCAGCAA